AAAGAGGATTAACTCGTTTATAAATAATTTATTTATACGAATATATAAAGTAAATTCTCGAAAACATATATTTCCGAGTGTATAATTATATAAACATTCTGAAGGCAGCATTAATAGAAACGCCTAGAGGGCATGGCCAAATAGACTACTGGTAGTTCTGAGAATAATATGAAGACTAAGAGTTAAATTATGCTAACAGTCTATCGGGATCAACTAGTGAGTATTCGTGGTTAGCTGTTTGTTTCTTATCCATTTTCTAGTTTTTTATTATTTACAATAAAAGTGCGTTTCGATAAAGATCCGAATACATCTATTAAGATCAGATGTCGAGAGTGTCTATAGTCAATTGACCTTCTCGGAGTGCATTAGGCCCAGCATGGAAACCACACCGACCTTTAAGAGGAATCAAAGTCTAGTCTACCTCACTAGCCATCTGGAAAACAGCTTACTAGTAATTGATAACGATGCGATAAGGTACCCGACTGGGTGTGTGCTTTTGTCCATAAACTGGGTTTGATAATGACTTAGACATAAATCTCCTAGAATAACTCCTAACCACTTTAACCAAATTTGATATACTTTCTTTTTTGCTTTCTCCAAGACACGAATAACTTGACTTCCAAGTTGGCAAGGTTCATAGCAATTGTTGCCTAACCCATTATTTTCCAGGACGATACACCTGGCCTAAGTGGATTCAGGCACCTTCATGTGATATCTCGAGACCATAGACTTGAAAGATTGTATGCTATGTATTATTGCAAGTGGTTTTATACATTTGTCAATTATATTAAACACTTAAGCAAAAAGGACAAAAGTAAGATATCTTTGGATGTTCTGGAGAGGCATAATTCCTATCAACTATAGGCAATAGAAAACCCACACTCCCTACACATACCTTATTTGATCCTGTTTTGTAAGACAGAGACAAAAGTTCAATAACAAAAAGGTCCTTAAGCTGTAAAGATCCATAAAGGTGTTCAATAAAAAAGCCTCGTTTAGCTTTGACCATAGAAACCAAGTGTGTCATCATGCTGACTTGTTGACAGGAGTTTTTTTATCATGGTGTTTTACGTACTGATAGCCACTCATCTCATGATCAGTTGGAGAGAAGTGGTTTCCATTGAACATAACTTAGAAATGCATCCAAAAAGGTTGTTTTTATCCTATCTGAATGCAGCCTCTACCTCGCGTCGTTGGAGATAGTCGAAACTTGGCCGTATTGGTTCCATGTCAAACTATCCTAGCCATTTTTAAATATACCAACAAGCATGATTTCCAAGGCAATTCAAACCTCTCCGGACTCACAGAGTTTACTTTGGGCTAATATTTACATAGGAAACCGATCAGACGTGAAGTAATACTGAGTATCATCCGCTTATATTTTGCTTTTACTGTCATGAATCTATTTCAGTGGCAGGATGCACTAGTTGAGAATGGCCTTGCATTCAATGATGGACGTTTTATCCATGAGTAGTTTAGCATATTACAATGAAAAATAAGGGTTTTTTCAAGAAATCATACGTTTAATAACTATTAGCCTTCATCTTACTTAACGAAAATAGTATATCTTCCTACAAAATCAGATTCCTTGCAAATGGCGATAAGTCCATGTTGCAAATAAACAACGGTCCTCCTGGCTCACAAAATTGTTTCAATGCAAGCTTTTAGGCTCTGAAACACAAAAGCAGATCAATTAAAAGCTTCAGTAAATGCCTACAATGACAGACAAGGACCACCATCGGAACGGACGAGAATTAGATTTACTGCCTCATTGGGCTCTAACTGGCGCTTAACGACAAAATTTGCAGGTAAAATCGGCTTTAATGGTGGAAAATATTTTTCAGTGCAGTCGATTCAGCCAGTCATTATTCGTGATTAGGGTTGAAGGGAACCAAAAGGAAGAAAAGTGCTGTTTTGTTGGGCGGCAGACATAAAATGAGTCTGGTCATCGACACTATAAGGAATGAGATTAAATAGTCTGGCTTTACGATAAAGCCAGTCCAAACTATGTAAGCAAAAGCCAAAGTCTGTTATCCAGAAGCTTGGCCAATATGAGTAATGAGTAAGCACAAAGTCGAATCTCTATGTTACCATCGAAAGTGATGCAATAATTGAAGTTGCTTTCTGGTAATATACAATCACAAAGCTTCGCGAACATGTCTTCTTCAGTCAGTAGCTTTCAGCCTAGAAAAATGCTCCTCTTATGTAACTGCTCCATAATTCATATCTTCTCAAATGGCCGAAAATACTTGAAGTTCAATTCACAGTTTGGCATTCAAATCATAATGACCTCTGAACTGGCATTCTACTCTCGTGATCTTGATTAATGCGATGCAGTATACATGGTTGTGTGCCAAAATCTCAGCTAATCCTAAACCTCTATATTTTTACAAAATGAATAACACTTGCATATTTTTGATCAGGATGCTGTATTCTTCATCATATACCTACGGGCTAACTACTTGATAAGTGAAAATCAAAGACAATTCACTAAAAGGAGATCCGGCAAGTGATGTACACAAGCAGACAATCATGCTATAAAATTTGATTAAATAAGTCGCAAGCCTAAAAGCTTTTGGTGAGATTTGACTAAATAATTTTCCCCAATCATAAGCTCTATGCACGAACATTATAATTAAGGCACTTTATAACAACCTCTGCAAGATGGTAATCAGATTGTAGAACGTTGCTTTCTGCCGGAAGTGCCCATCGAGGGCCTGAAACTGCCGTGGCCGAAACAAAAGAAGAAGTCAACGAGTGCGACTTCGATGTGGAAGAAAGTGAAGATGTAATCGAGCTCCGGTGGCTGACACCACCAGATTCACTGATCGCCAAGGTGGAGGCTGAGATGAGGCCAGCCTCCGCGCCTGCCTCGTTTGGACGGGCACGAACTCGTAGCACTGGATCCGAAGTCACACCGGTCGTGGCGCTCTGAACGTCTTCCGTCGCACATGCAAATGAGGCTGATTCCATTGAAGTTGTGGCATTCAGTTTGAGACTTTCTAAACCGGCCGGATCAAAAGGCTCTTTGATCTCGCGTACTAGCCTGCCACCACGGTCAGGTTGGTCGGCATTGTATGGCTGCTGAGCGGGCCTAAGCAGCTTCATCTGGTCCTTTCAAGGGTAAAATAAATGGGAAGCAGCCTAGCATTGAAGTCCATATTGCTTGCAGAATTTAGAGTAGGTCAGAGTAGGACTATCGTGTTAAACATCCTATCCATATCTTGCTTTTAGTTAAAGCAGACAGAATAAAGAAGAAATCTTCTTAAATATATTGATAATAATGTTCTCTGAACCTACTTGCAACGAATATAAGTAGCATAGCCAAATAGAAAGGCAAATTACAAGTTGACCCCTGCTTAAATACAATATAAATTCGAAATATGAGGCCCCACTTTCCTTGATATTTACGACTGCACTACGGCCCACTGGTGCTAGTGACCGTGTATCATAGTGGTAAAATGTT